CCTGGCCCTGCACCCACACAGGGAGCGCTACATGGACACACAGAGGTGTTGGGAGAATGAATAAATACTTCTGTTGTTTCATGTACATGCCTCTGAAGCCACACTGTTTAGTTATTAGTTTTCATTTAACCCACTGAGGTCCCTTTTATCACGAGTGTCTGGAAAAGTATTCAGCTGATAGAATATTTTTAGCTGAGGCCTTTACAGAAGTCAAGTGATCAGCTGTTTACTGTTTAACTATTTATCACATTATGTGCCATTACAGCAGCACAGATATTCTAATTACTCACTCTGTGATGACGACAGTAACATCAGTTCTTTGTTGGTATTTACTGCATTTACACATTTTTAGCAATAGAGCCAAAGCAATGATGTAATAATTGTTACAAACATGAAAATGAGACAAATAGCATCCAATATAAGGATCAATAGAATAAATAGTAAATGAACTCTGGCTGGTTTGATTTCTATGATCATTTATGTCGTGTTTATGTCATATTAAAGTTGTTTGTTTTAATTAGTTACTGACAGTGTCCTTATGTCAGCCACGGCCAGAATACAAAAACATACACAGAGTGAAGCTGATGATGAAGCTCCAGAATGTAGCATTTGAACATCGAGAAACTTTAATCACAAAAGCTACACTGCAAACAAAGAAACGCTGACATTGGTAGAGAGTAATTATGATGGAACCAGGCACATTTGTCAAAGCTTCAGCTTTACGAAGCTGTGGTGAAGTCTGAATCGGTCTTCTATATCTTTATTCTTCTGAGGCTCACTTGACCACAAATGACCGTTCTTGCAGAGTCAAGAACGTCACAAACAACTTCTCAGCTTCTATCACATTTTGCTTCATTTATTAAGATGGTTTGTTGTATATGTTTTTATGTCTTGCTCATTTGATCTAAATTTGTTTGTATATTGAAATGCTTTGATAGATTTTGTAACTAGTACCTCCATTTCAACATAACATCATTTTAACATCAGCATGTGGTCTGTTGAGTAATTTGTCTTGGATCATTTTCACAGTGTGAAGAATTTGTTGAACAACTCTGCAGCTGCAGTTCTTACCGCTGTCAGTACAAAGATGGAGGCTTTTCCCAGGAACTGTCTGAAATTCAGAGATATACATGTGACTGAACTCATCCAGATTAACACTGTTTTTTATCATTATCAAAATAAACAACCATGACTCACCTGAACATGTAATAAGGACACACAGCAACTAAAGTGTCGGTTAAAGTTCCATGACGTTGTCAAAGAGTCCACAGAAATGTGCTTGTTTTATAGGTTAGAGCCATCGAGGATTCCAATTATTTGTCGCTGAATTGTTGAACAAATATATTAGTTATTGTTACCTTAATAACACACTGATTTTTACCATGCACTATGGCATTTATTTGTTTTCCTCCTCGTCAGAGATAGGGTTGTTTAAGGTTGATTAAGTAAAGACAGTTCATGCTTTGGTACATGGTTTTAACTTTCAATAATGCATGCTCGTGTTTATAAGTTCTGAAGTGGATTTAGAAAAACAAACACGAAATATTCTACATTTGTTTTAATTAGAAATGAATGAAACCTATACTTATATCTACATCAGGCTGACGATGAAAGATTCCATAAACTTTCTGTATGACATTTTACGTTGTAGTAATAAATGGACCAATGTAGCTATTATGCGTTTTTTTTTTGGTGAGACTGTACCATCAGAGCAGTGAACAGTAAAATACAGTAAGGGGGGAAAAAACGTCAGACATATCTGACATCTCTGCTGATGACTGCCTACAACTGGCTTTTCTTGTTTAAGCCACACCACATGAATTCCCCCCACTGATATACTGGCCTGATAGACTTTACACTGGAAATTGAGGATAATTGCATCTAATATGAGCCGCTGCCACTGACCTGACTGATAGGGACACAGTAACTTCCAACTGACAAGTCAGTGTCGGGATCTGAACCATGCGTATGAGGGAAGAAGCTGTCATGAATATTAGCATTGTATTCAAGCACATTTTACTTGAACAAAAACTTGAAAAGTGAACCACGACGGTGATAACAAAAGAATCTAGAATGCCAGCACCACATAGCTGCTGATGGAAACAGTAAATACGCTCTTCCAGTTATAGGAAGGTTTCCTACAAGTGTAAAAAGAAATGATGACAGTGTTTGCATTTACAAAACATATACATATCTGTGAGATATTCAACTTTACATACATTTACATGAGAAGCACAAATTCAGTCCTGCCACAAGTCCTGCATTGTGTTGGAGTGTGGGAGAAGAATTGGCCTGTCCGGACACTGACCTTTCCTCTCCTCTTCTCTTCGAAGAACTCTCTGTCTGCATTTGACTCTGTTTGAGGTCATTGTCCTGCAGAAGAGAATCCTCTCTCAGTCTCTCCGTTTTAAGGATCTGATTGTACTACTGTTGGTGCTCGTTGAACTTTCTATCTTCTCAAGTATTAAAAAGAACTAACACTTACCCTTTATGTGTTTAAGCTGCAGGATTGAACTCCACGGTAACATTCATGAAGAAGCAAATGCAGATCTCACATCTGAGAACCTGTAAGCCAAGCAAGTGGTGCATCCTGCATCATAGTGCAAAACACAGAGCTGATTTCAGCCATCTTCATTACAGGGAACTGCTAGAAATAATAGGTGGGCAAGTCGGGAAGTAGGTAGCCCAGAGGCTAGCGAAGAGGCTTAATGACCAGAAGGTTGCTGATATGAGGCCAGATGCAACCATTTCCTCCTTTGCAATTGTTTCTTTTGTATGATCCCTGACAGAAGTAAGTATGACAAACAAAAACTTTGGATTTCCACAAGCAGTGAGACTGCATTTCTGTTAAGTAATTTTCATGCTCTGAGCACAGACAGTCTGTGGCTCTGACCGACGCTCTGCAGCTGGCAGCTTTTTTCATCCAATCAAAAGTGTTTCTGGTATTCTCTCAACTGTTTCTTTTTTTTCCTTCTGAGTAAGTGGGCAAAACGCTCATTTGAGTCAGTTTAAAACATAGTTACATAGTTGCATGCATAGTTGCTGCATTTTTTCTGACAAACAGGTTCATGGTTGGTGTGGTGTAGGTCATGTTAGCCTGTTGGAGAAGCTACTTCCTGGAGTTGTATTCTCAGAAGTGTTCTTCACCCCCCATATACGTCACTATTATATGTCACTAATGTTGTGTCCTCTGTCTCTCGTAGTTTGTATCTCTGGCTGCAGAGCTGCATGTTTCTGATCCACAGACACTGGCTTCACCAACTTCCCAAGTTCTTGTTGGTCTATTCTAAGTGTCTGTTTTCTCTCTCCCTTTTACCCTCAGCCCAACCTGTAGAGGCAGGTGCTGCCCTTCCTGAGCCTGGTTCTGCCAGTGGGTTCTTTCTGTTGAGGGGCAGTTTGTTTTTTCACTCTCGCCAAAGAGCTTGGATTGGATTGGCTGGGTTTCTCCCTATAAAATATTACTGTAAGGTCTTAACGTAATTATGTAAAGTGACTCCGAAAGATGACTTATGTTCTGAATTGATGCTAAATAAATAACTCTGCATTAAACTGAACTGAATTTATTTCTTGTCTTGCGACACAGTTTGGCACAAACTGTCCAGAGGTGACTTACAGCGTTGGTTGAGTGTTATTTTCTTCATTTTTTTCTGCCAAAAGGTCATTTTTCACATAAGACATTTTGAAGTCATAGCAGGAAAAGAATAGATATAAATAATATTAATGGTAGTTGCATTTCATTTAGAGTGTTCCAATTCAAAAACAGAATTTTGTGCATGCAAGGATACAAACAGAATGAAAGCAACATTAATGCTCTTAAAGGAGTACCTTACTGACTCTGAACAGCAGAACTCAACAGAACCGGCTAACCTGAACGTTCCTCCTTCTTGTCGAAACCTGTCACCTGTATTACCAAAAATGCAACCTTAGTTGACAAACTGGTGGGAGATTCAAGTGTGTTATGCTAATAGCAGCACCACGTTCTTTCTATTTTGGGTCATTACATTACAAATTATCACATTTTAGAAAAATTTCTGCTTGATCATCGAATGTGTGTGTGTGTGTGTAAAGAATCTGCAGTATTGGACAAGCAGCTCAAATACGTAAGGGATAATGCCCGACGAGGTGTCCATTATCAGAAATTAATGGACGACGCGGAGGCGTGAACCGTCCTCCGCTTCTCGTCGGACGGTTGCTTCCGCGAAGTCCATTAATTTCTGATAATGGACACCTCGAAGGGCATTATCCCGCTTATACCATGGTCACTTACGAAAGATATTAGTAAATAAATATTAAATCAATTATTAATACGTTAATGTTGTTTTTTACCGTTAAAATCGTAAGTTTTCCACAACAAGCGGCTGAGCGGACTATTTCATGTCTCTCGTTGTGACGCGTTGCCAAGGTAACCGGTCGGCCGCAGCTGTTATATTAGGCCTAAGTGGAGGGAAGTGAGATGATTGCTTAACGTGAGGGCAAGTGCACCTCTTACCGCTTGTGTGTGTCCAGAGGATGATGCGAAATATAAATATTTAACGTATGTTCTGAGTTTCTGTTGCCACGGTTACCAACTACCGTTTGAGTCAGCGCATTAATTTAGAACAATCAGGTTATTTGACCGGAACTTCTTTATAGGTGTCCTATATCACTTTTTAATGGACACCCTGCAGCCAATCAGAATTGAGTATTCACCCAGACCATGGTATAAATCAAAATAAGTTATAGGTGAGTTGAAGTATATATTAAAAAAAAAAAAAAAAAAACTAATTTAAAAAAACAACAAAAAACAGCAAAAAGAATTGAGCTGTCATGAAAAGTGCCATCTCAAATCAAATCAACTCATTATATTTTCTGAACCACATGTAGTTGTATGTCACAATAACACAACATATAGACAAACATGTAGAAAACTTTCCAACATTAAATACTTGTTGCTTTAGGTTGTGTGGTATGAACTCCAAATTTTGATTTTAAACTCAAGAACAATAAAGGACTATGATTACTAATGAGAATCCTCATCTGTTTTATTGTTCCACATACAACATCAAGTAACACAATCATTGTCGAACTGACACATAGATCTGTGTGGAGTCAAATGTCAGCCAGAGGAAAGTTAAGATATTAGCTAAAGTAGTGTACAGTAAAATACAGACTGGAATGATACAGAGTTTAAGCTACATGTAAAAAGTGGTACAGAAAATATGTCGGCTTTTACCATATAAATGTTATAGTTCTCTAATACAGCTTTCATTTTTAACTGTTTTCATTTAATAATTTCAATAAGCCTTTTAAATGATGCATTATATGCGCCATATACTGTAACTCCAGATCCAGGAAGATGAGGTGAAATGACAGTATAATACATCACAGAGTATGTAGAAGTCACTGAACATCAGCTTTTTTATCCCATAACCGACCAGACCTGTTTGGAACCTATATTATCTGGAATAAGTTAAAGGAATATAAAGAAAATAAAGTACATATAATGGAGTGTGTGCACTTTGGAAGAAGAAATTAGTGTGTACAATAGAAATGGCCTACTTGTTAAGTATACATTTACATTCACACATAAGGCAGGTACGACTTGAGTTACAGTCTTTGGCGTTAAAATGCGTCATGTGAGAGTCATCGACAGCAGAGAAATAAGATAATGTGGAAAAAGCTTTCCAAGCTTTACAAAACACAGCATAGATCCTAATGATAACCCACCATTCACACAACGTTTGGCTGATAACATTCTTGTGTGTACAAGGCAACATAATGGTCCAAAGAAATATACCACATTAGGAATAGGAATTCCTTGTGTCAACACTTTTCCCAGTACTGATGGGAATACTTAAGGTTTGTGGAAGGCAGTTCAGCGGACCCACTCTCGCTGTGGTGTCACAGTTCAAACTCTTGTTTCTACAACCCTTTTCCCTGCTGCATCCTCAAACAAGGCATTCAACCCTTTTGAGTTCTAGGTAATAAAACCCAGATATTTGGCTTTCCTGCAGAAGAATACAAAACTAAATTTACCCTAGTAAATGGATGGATGTCACAATATTACATCTGTCACACACTGCAGTGTAATCCTCTGAGTAGCGGTCCATTTAGACAGAGACTGCAGGGCCTGGGTATGGTTCCCCACCACACCAGAAGTCCTCTGGCTGAGGGACTTCTAGCAGCCATGTCTGACCTTTCTCTTTCTCTCCCTGCTGTTCCGGGTTATCCTTTGCATCTTTTCCTTCCTCTGCCACAGTTTGCAGGACCTTGTAATAGTGACAGTCCCGCCCATCATCTGGATTGTAAGGGGGTGCCAGGATATCCAGAAAAGCAGCAGGTCCCTCCACTGCGTCGATCTGGTGGAGATTATCCCGCACAGGAGTGAGAAGGCACGGCCCGCTGGTCTCTGAGTACTCAGTGTCAGAGCGGAGCACAGAGCGCCACACAGAGCCCATCTGCAGAGGGGCCAGTGGGGGGTCAAACTCAGGAGGGACAGTGCTTCCATTGACGTTATCCCCCATCTTGTCAAAACAACGAACGCTGACCTTCCCATAGAGAACCTGGACAGGACACAGGAAACAATTAGCAAAGACAATAAACAATACTACTGAGCAATAATATATAGGTAAGCTTCTTACTGTTACTATCAAAGTTGACCGTGGAAAATATCCACACTTACATAGTGCCTTTTAAACATAGCTAGGTTCTACAAAGTGCTTTACGATGTGTTTCTCGTTCACTCTTACACACCAGTGGTGGCACAGCTGCCATGCAAGGTGCTCACCTGCCATCGAGGTTTCAGGGTCAACACTAAACTGCACACCTCGTGATTAGTGGACAACTTGCATTACCTCCTGAACCACGGCCGGCCAGAATAGTAGATGTAACAGTCTTCCATTGAAAGGTTTTCCTAGACTGTTAAAATGATTACTTCCCAGGAACATATTACTGTTTTCACCTGCATTTGTAGGATTTTTTGTCAGTAAGTGCCATTTTAAAAACAGAATTGCTGATAATTTATCTGTATATCTACTTAAGTCATGTGATAAACCATACACAGTTTACATATTATTGAAATGATTTTGCCACACAGATAAACTGAAGCTGGAATTTTCCTGCGAAGTAACTAGCACATACTGCCTCAGGTGAAACGTGGATCCTCTACATCACAATTATAATGGCAATTAAAGGTTGGTTGGATATGACAGTTAGAACAGCTTGGTTCAGAACATGATATTTTTCTGTTGAAAAAGTGATCTGATCTGTGATCAGGGGAAACTTCAATCTCACAAGCTGCAGTCATAGCATTGCTAGAGGATATCAACAGTTAGTGTATGCAAAACCTCTCTGTTTAGTTACTATTTTTATCCTGCACCTGTAGCCAGCTGGGGATGAATTTTCACACTATCCACGATCTTGGCTTCATCATTACACAAAACACCATGACCAAAGTTCACAGCCATGTTATTGCTATAACAATGTATTCACCTCTGTGGTTTCAGGAGCAGAATTTACTCCACTTGCATTCAGTGTGACTTTGAAAAGGTTCAGCTTCATGCTATGATACAGAGTACTGTAGTCCCACCCAGGCTCCGTAAACATTCACTGGTCAGGAAAACTCTTTAACAGAAGAAAATGTCCAAAACACACCAATAGTAGACTCAGTAGTGTTTAGGAAGCACCTAATGCACCCTTTGACCATTGGTTATGTCCATAGCCTCCAATGTTTCTTTGCAATGGTGTAGATTTACATCTAAGCCATTTTAAAGCAGGATGGGCTTATTTTGATGGAAGAAAATTTCTAAATATGTAACTCTGATATGAGCTTTTAGAGGTCTAAACAGTGACCGAATTGGGGCTTTAAGTTCAAGGCAAGTATTCCTGTGCTGCAAGTACTGTGTTGGATTGTGATAATCTGATGAAACCCAATTCATTTAACAGTCTGTACAATAAGAGCACAATCACTCAAATAACCCAGCTCACAAACCTTGATTTTGACAGAGAGTCCCTCTACAAGGCATGCACACAAAATTCACTAATGATGCGAGTCTTGGTGTAGTTGATCTCATACTACGTGCAAATTCCAGTCACGGTTCAGTTTAAGATCCCTAAGGTTCCAACCTTCATCTTAGCCTGGGCTCTTAGACAAACTCTGTCTCAAATTATGGCTTTAAGACATTATCTGTTGTCAGTTTAGTGTTTAATCAAACTGTCTTCATTTCCTATGTGTCAAGTAAATTACACCAAGAATTATTAAGTGTACTGGAGGTGAAAGTACTGTGAGACTGTAGCCAACATTATCTTCAACTTGATTTAGATCATATGTATGTATAAAATATCAGAAAGTTGCTTTTAATGTTTGACAATCAAGTGTTTGCACATTCACGACAGTCGCTTTAAAAAAAAATGATGCCAATGAATTGTTAAAATTCTTAGGGAAACAAATGACACTAGCTTATGAAAACAACTAATGTTGACTGTAAGTCTACAGGTCCACAGCTACATACTGGCCTCAGGGGCCTGACAGGTCTTGGATGAGGTGGTTACCATGACAGCAGACATGGAGCCTCCAACACCTTGAAAATCAGACATTTTGCTGTAATGTAGCCTCATGTTTTCAATGTGAAATCAAAGTGATACTTATATGCTGAAAACTCCTGGAAAATAGATCCGTTGGGCTAAAAGACATGTTTTCAAAGTGTAATCAAATTCAATTGTGTGCAAAGGTGGATCATGACACTACATCAAATTTTTACTTGTTTTGTGCAACAGGTGACTGAATGTAGCCCAACTAAAAAGTATTTAAAGCACCTGCTTAAACTGACGCTTCATGAGTCCTGAAAGTGTTTCCTGGCTCTCTATAGCTAGCTAAAATAAGGTAACTACTCAGAGCCAGAACACCGAGAACACAGGGGGCTATCCAGGACCAGATAAAATGGACATGAAGTATAAAGACCTTCAGCATCCCGTTCATCCCCGGGTGGTCGTGCAGCGGGATGGAGGCTCCGGTCCTCAGCAGAAACACCCCCATGCTGAATACATCCGTCTCGCAGATGTGCATGTAGGTGACCGGGGGGCTCTGGAGCTCTGCTGCCCCGGAGCTCGGCTTGGTTTTGCGGGGAGCAATTTTCAGGTCAGCAGCTCTAACGGCGGTCACTACGGATATTAGCTCGCTCAGTTTGTCTGCTACAACTTTACTATCCCCGCCGGCCGAAGACTTAAGGCCGTTAAAGGTGATATAGGCTTGCTTGGCTATTTTCTGGATGAGAGGAGTTTTGTTGTCCCGCGGCATTCTGGCGGAGGAAAAAAATAACGGTTATCGGTGTGTCTCTGGCACTGTTCCGACGGCAAAAAAAACTTCTTAAAATGCTTCCTGAGCCTCCAGGCTCACCAAATATACTCCGGAGTTGGTTAGTATACGTTTAAAAAAGACAAAATTGCGACTTCTAAGATAACAAACCACAATTCATGGTGATATTGTCTACTTTCGCCACCAGATACGAGCCTCCCTCCAGTCATTTTCCACCGTCAAGCCCTCTGGTCCGCGCTCACGGAGCCTGCGCACCGAAAAGCAGCCTGGGATATGAGGTTTTATGGAAAATAAAACAGTACTTTAAATCATATTAACAAGAACAGCGAATCACTGCATTATACCATCTTGTTTGATAAAAAACGGTGTTAAATTCTCTAAGTTTATTGAATATACTAATATACCCAAAATACATAAAACAAAGCCTGCTTTTTAGCGACACTACATTTCCCAGAGTGCCTGAAGGTGCAGCAGAGTTGCAGAGGGAAAGGCCAGACAGGCCATTGAACTCTCTACAGCCCTCCCCCACCCAACATCACATCCTCCATCACCGCCTCTGGGTGCTGTCCATCTTTTCACTGTACAGTTTCAAGTAATATGTCATTAGTGTTTTTCCAGATCCAGGATTTGTATGCAGTTTTGTTTAGCTTTGTTATCTGTGGTTCATCATGCTCTTCTACCAAAGTGTAATACGGATACTGAACGCACATTAGTCTATAGTCTGTACTATTTATCATACATATTTATTATTTATTCTATACTATACTATGCTATATATATTAAATTATAATTATGTTTTAATTATTATATCCTATACCATGTTATATGTATAATATTATATATTGTATTTCTTATAATAATTTTTTATTTGTATTATTTGTATTCTCATATATCCCCAGTGTTCCTACTGCAACAGTGCAATATATTTATTCTACCGTTTGGCTAACTATATATACTTCCTACTGACTCCTTTTGAAAATATATTTATATATTCTTATTTGTCTTTTTTATACTTTTACTTTTATACTTTTGCACCACTGGAGTTGTCTTTTAGTTTTGTTGTACTCAGTGCATGATGACAATAAAAGCATTCTATTCTATTCTATTCTATTCTATTCTATTCTAAAAATGATGTGCTCCTGTATGGGTCTCCAGCACATAGCCACAGGATTCATTCAAATAGCACAATGGAAACACTGACAGTAGATGATATGTTGCTGCAGAATTTTTACCTTACGTTGTTTTTTGATGCTCTGTTAACCACAAATTAAATTCCATTCACTTTTATAGCATTTGATCATTCGGTTATTTGGGGGAAACGTGTCCAAAGATTTGCTTGATACTTAAAGCTCCAGTTTTGCAGAGTTTCAGAACCATTAAATCCTGAACTGACTCAGTTCAATTCAATTTTATTTGTATAGCGCAGTTTACAATATATGCCATCTCACAGCGTTTAACATGGTACGGTATAGACCTTACTGATCACAAATAATGGACTGCAAAATAGAGTAATATAGTTTATCTTAAGAGAAAAACATGTGTTTCATTTTTATTGCTAAGGCCATTGCATTAATTGAGACTGTCTCAAGAAAAAATGACTGGTGCTGCTGTTTCAGCAGAATGATTCTCAGGTGACTAAGCCCTCTAGTGGCTGAGCTGACCCAGCAGGTTTTATGCCTAAACATTACCCAATTCTAAGGCTTGTTTTATACTTTTGGGTTGAATCCATATGTTAGGTATGCCATAGATGTGGTGTAGCTACAGACCCTATGCCATAGCCTGATGTGCACCTCCCCAGGGTAATAGGTCCACTTGGTAGGAATATGCTGTGTTTGCACAAAATGTTGATTTGCACATAGATAATGCTTAACTAAAACAAAATGTAATATGTAATAGGTTGTTTCTGTCTTGTTCAAATTAAAAACATAAGAGGGAATTTCTGTGTTTTCGTATTTCTACCAGTTGTGTATAGACTCAGTCAGTTCTAGAGTCTGCTATCCACATGAAAGAGCTACTGATGTGAATCTTTACAAGAAAGAGACATCAGCAGACATATCACGAAGAACGGTTGAACAAAGCTAGAAAGGGTTACATAGTGATCTCAAAGAGCTTCAGAAATTCATCAGTCCACAGTTACAAAAGTGTTTATATATTGAAACAGTTTAACTCTGTGGCTGCTCTCTGTAGCAGTGGGAGTCCAACTAAGATGACTTCAAACGCACAACACAGAATGCTTAGTGATGAAAAAAAGAAACCCATAGTATCAGCTAAAGACTTAAAGGAATCATTGGGGCTGGGTAACACTGCTGTTCACAAGTCTGTGATACATAGATCATTGAACAGGAATGTTGTCCATGGAAGGTTAAAACAGAAGAAGCTGTCGTTCTGCAAAAAAAAAAAAAAACATCAGTGCACAGTTAAAGTTTGCCAGAGAGCACCCTGACACTCGACAGTACTGCTGGGAAAAGGTTCCAGGGACTAATGAAACCTAAGTTGAATCATTTGGTTAAGATCATGATGTAAATGTCATCATATCTGTGTCATGGTATTATTAAGTGGAGGAGGCAGCATCATGATGTGGAGCTGCTTTGCAAGGTGTCTTACAGATTAATGTCAGAGTGGTTGTCTAGGTGCAGCTCTATAGAAGCTTGGTTACCTCTTCAGTGTTCATGTCTCCAGATGAAATTTAATTTTATAACCAGTTAATGCAGAAAACCAGGTCATTTCAAAGGCTTTACATCCTTTTTCTTGCCAGTGTATGTGATTTACGTCTGCAGCACACTTTCTGGATGTTGTGTGGATGTTGAGGCGTCAGTCAAATAGATTGCTGTGGAGGGGGAAGACAAACTGCCTATTTTGTATTATCTGATGTATAACAAGCCATACTGAGGCCATAATAACAGGTTACAGTCACCATTTATGGACTGAAAGCCACTAGTCAAAGTCAAGGTTTTTAAAAAAAAAATAAAAAAATACTAGGATGTATTTGATGTTCTGAAAGGTGAGAAATGTTTTAAGTCAAACATCTACGAGGCCAAACAGGTGCTGACCTATAGGAGTAGTGGTGTGCTCTGTTTTGCCTCTCACTGACTGCTACAGCAGAGGGAAGTGAGCATGGTCAATCCAACAACAAAACATGAGGCTGAGTCACCCACATCTCAAACACTCTAAAACTCAGGGCTGAGTCACCGGCATCCAAACACTCTCAGAGCAAACGTACCTTACTGTGCACATGTGTGCAATTAAATAGTTGGCACAGTTGTGTGGGTTCAGGTTTGAGTACCTTCTCACATGTGTGTATTTTGTGTACGTGTGTGCTTGTGTGTGTGTGAGTAACTCAGTGCATTCGTGTACATGCTGCATTATGTATGATGCATTCTGTGTGAGGAGTGAGGGAGACACAAAGAAAGCAATATCCTCTTGAGAAATAATGAGGCCAGTTTATTATAGGCTCTCTCTCTCTCATCTCACACACATACACACACGAGTGCCCACACACACACACACACACACACACACACACACACACACACTCCTGTTGTTTACACCGACACAGTGTCACTGCTTAAGAGGAGGAGTGTGTTGCTTAGAGACCTGTCTTCATTAGATGAGGCATGAGGTAAACTCATTAATTCTTTAATTAATTCATTACCTCATTAAAAAACCCCAGAGGGTCAGACAGTGAGGATGTCTATGTACAAACCCATTTGTTCAATTCTTTCTGTGCAATTTTAGCAAAAGAAACATTTTGAGAGAGACTGGTGTAGAAACAGTAATCAACTCATTAATTGAGATAAATCTCAGTAAGTGGAGATAAAAATAACCAAGTTTAGTAATTGGTAATTGTTATTTTTACATTGCTGGTAATTGATAATTTTCATGAGCTGATGATACGCCAATGATATGTCAATGAACTCTTCCAACTCCTCAGTTAGATACATGTCTACCTGAGAAAAAACTGTGGATGAACATGAACTTTTCTCTGTTAAATGCTGTAATTGAGCCATGTACAGTCTTCTGAATGAGAACTGGCCTTAACATTGGTAGCTGTGTCACTTCTTAATGCTCAACTATCAGACACTGTGGAGTTATTTTTGATTCTTGCCTGACATTGCAGCCACAAATCAATGGTATTACGAACACAGCAATTTTGCACCTTTGCAATATTGTTAAAACCAGACCGGCAGTAATCTATCCATGCAATCCATTCATCTTTCAAACTTGATTCTTATAACATCCTTTCCTCTTGTCTAGTTGTGTTATAAGTGTGTTCAGCATGTTCAGAATGCTGCAGCTCAAATCTTGACAAAAACTATAAAATTTTTCATACAATGCCAGTTCTGGCTTCTCTTCCCTGCAACAGCTGGTTTTAAGTTTCTTGTTTAAAGTTGATGCACCACTTATCAGAGGCCTTGTTCACAAACTTTTTCTGTGTCTTAATCTAGACGCAAGCGCAGCTTTAGGTTACTGAAAATAGAACTTTTGGAAAACTCTTTCCAAGTTGAGGATATTCAGAAACTCTATTCAATGAATACAGTAGTTCGGATGCAACCTGACCAAATTATGCCAAACACACCAGCACACTATCTTCGTGGTCTTAGTGATGGTCTCCTGGTCAATCCGTCTGTGAACATAAATTCAGTTGGCTTCACAGTATTTGCCGATTGTGCCACTTGTCTTTGAAATGCTTAAAGATGTTTGTTCCGTTAAAAAAAAAACAACAACACTGAAAACTGACCTTCATTCACTTCATTAGAGCTATAGCTACAACTCAGATTTCTGGTTGATTTTACTGAACTTAAGATACTTTTTCTGAATTCTTAACACAGCAAAACACCAAATAGTTAATTTTCTGCCTAAAACTATATTTTATAAATTTATTACCAACTTTACATTTCAAAATGCATAAAAATTCTAATGCTGAAACCCAACTCAATATCAAGTCATTGTTTCAAAACACTTCCATTTTCCCATTAATGGTGCTCACTGCTTCATTCAGCTGCAAGGCGGCGCGGTGGTTGCTGCCTTGCAGCAAGAAGGTCGCTGGTTTGTGTCCCCAGTGAGGACATCCGGGATCTTTCTGCAAGGAGTTTGCACGTTCTCCTCATGCAGCGTGGGTTCTCTCCGGGTTCTCCGGCTTCCTCCCACACAGTCCAAAAACATGTTGAGGCTAATTGGTGATTCTAAATTGTTTGTAGGTGTGAATGTGAGTGTGCTTGGTTGTCTGTCTCTAAG